TTATTTGGAAATCACTCATCTAGAACAATCTCTGCATTTTACAGTTAAATATATTGATAGAGAGAGGTGACTTTCCAAGGTCCATTTTTTGGGGGGGCAGGGGGAGGAAGATTAGCCCTGAGCTAACAACTGCTGCAAATCCTCTTTTTTTTTTTGCTGAGGAAGACTGGCTCTGAGCTAACATCCGTGCTCATCTTCCTCTACTTTATATGTGGGACGCTTGTCACAGCATGGCTTGACAAGCGGTACATAGGTCTTCACCCAGGATCTGAACCAGCGAACTCAAAATGGAACGTGGGAACTTAACCGCTGCACCACCAGGCTGGCCCCCAAGGTCAATTTTTAAGCTAATAATACTGCTCTCTTATGTGGTATACCTACTCAGTGATAATACTGATAGGTGCAACCAATAGGTAGTTTGTCAGAAGGTAGAAATTAAAACATGCCATTGACAGGATTATCACTTTGGGTACCTTAATGTTTGTGTGTGTATAAACCCAGCAACCAAATTTCAAACTGAAAATCACTTTTGATACAATTATTTTTAGACATGTCCAAGTGTTTTGAAAATAATTGGAAAAGTAGGGAGGATACTTTATAGAAAATGTGGTAATAATAATTGGAGTATATGGTTATAAGCAATTTTGTTTTGTAAGAAAAATATTTTGTTAATAAGAATCAACAAGTTTGGGTAATTTTTGTTTGCTAGTAAAATGTTAAAGTATGTTTAACAGTTTCTTAAAATTTTTTTTTATTTTTGCGTAGGCTTCTCCAGGTAATCTTTCTCAGTTTGAAGACATTCTTTTTGGTAACAATGATATGTCAGCTTCCATTGGTGTTGTGGGTATTAAAATGTCTACAGTTGATGGCCAAAGACAGGTTGGAGTTGGGTATGTTGACTCCATACAGAGGAAGCTGGGACTGTGTGAGTTCCCGGATAATGATCAGTTCTCCAATCTGGAGGCTCTCCTGATTCAGATTGGACCAAAGGAATGTGTTTTACCCGGAGGAGAGACTGCTGGAGACATGGGAAAACTGAGGCAGGTAAGGGAAGCAAGTCTAGTGATAGAGGAGAGTCCAAGCCTAGCAGAGGCTCCAATTAACAGGATACTGTTTTATTTAAGGAAAAAAATAGAAGTCAGAATTTTTTGTATCTAATTATAATGTTTTGTTTTGAGGAATCTCTTGATGTTTATCTTTGACAGAAACTTTGTATCTTTAATAGGACTTCAGAACAAGCTGTTTCTCATTTAAGACTTGTTCTCCCTCAGATCCTCTCCCACCCCCCCCACCCGCAAAAGAGTGACAGCGTGTGCCATCTTAAAGGGATCACAGTGGATAAAAGGAAGGCTTTCACAGTTGGGGGGAGGGGTGCTTTAGAGCCATCAAAAACCTGCTTAGCATGGATTTATCAAATAAATAAGATATAGTTCTTCAGGATTACTTGGTGATAGTTTGAGTGGAACTTTAACCTCTTATTTTACTGATTGATTTAACAAAATTCTGATTATGCCGTTTGTGTAAGTATATGGTTTATGATTTAGATGTTTAAGGGATGGTGTATCCCCAAGGATTCTTTTCTTTCTGTGGGCCTCAAATACCATAAGAACTGCTTGAGAGATAGGAAATCTATGATGGGCATTCCGCAAGAATTATTCTGTTCAGAGTTTTTACTATTGGGACTATTTTTTGAAAGCTTTATGTGAACATAATTTTAAATTTCCATGAGAATTTAGTTTATAGATTTTAAAAATACCTGTTAATACATATATGTTACCAATGTCTTGCACATTGTGAAAAAATTTAATGTGGGTTAATAATTTAAGTTGTCATTTTATATTTATCAATGATAGTTTTCCTTTTCTCATAGTAATTTAAAGTATTTCTTGTAAAATAGGTTATTCAGAGAGGAGGAATTCTGATCACAGAAAGAAAAAGAACTGACTTTAACACAAAAGATATTTATCAGGACCTCAACCGGTTGTTGAAAGGCAAAAAGGGAGAACAGATGAATAGCGCTGTTTTGCCAGAAATGGAGAATCAGGTATGTGGATTACAAATGTGAATTTATTCTTAGATTATAGTAGTGACTTTCTAGAAGGCTACTTCTGTTATATGTATATCAAAGCCTAAATTGTGGGCCACTGAAATTAAGCTTGTTTTATCTATGCTGAAGCTTGTGGAAAAACTCAAGGAATGACTAGAAAAATTTAAACATAACCTTAGATAATTTCACAGCATATATTCCTGGGGTGGAGGAGAGTTTTATTGGTTTCACATGAAAGAGCCTGATTACTGTCACTTAAATAGGTGAGACAGCTTAGTGGTTGTAGCGGGAAAAAAAGGCCTACCAAAGCTTTATAATGTACAGGCTGTGTAGGATGTGGGGTCTTTAATAAATTATTCACCTTTCTGAGGCACTTTCGTTGTATGTTAAATAAGGTTAAAAATACCGGTCTTAAGGGATTGTTGAGCTTGGGAAGTAAAGGGATGAAAGTGTATATAGCACATAATAATTGCATAGTAAATGTTACGTTTAAACAGTTTGGCTCAAAAATTGACACTGGTTTGGTATGGCCAGTGGTAGAAATGAATAAGCGAACAGTATAACTTTTTATGGGATTTTCAGTGGTTGAAGTTTATCTTCGAGGTGGATATACTTGAGAGATGTATTTTTATGGTAAAAGATTGGAAACTCTTTATAGGATATTTGTGGATCACTGCTAAGTGAATTGAAAAATTCTCTTGCATATTTAAGACAGAGCAAACTTTTTTTTAATTTCTTTTTTCTTTTTTTTTTCTGCTTTTTCTCCCCAAATCCCCCTAGTACATAGTTGTATATTTTAGTTGTGGGTCCTTCCAGTTGTGGCATGTGGGACTTCCTCTCAGCGTGGCCTGATAGGCGGTGCCATGTCCATGCCCAGAATTCAAATCTACAAAACCCCAGGCCGTGAAGCGGAGTATGTGAACTCAACCATGGGGCCGGCCCAGAACAAACTTTTTAACTTATAATTTTCAAAGTAGATTTCAAGCTAGAATGAACTGAAACTATTGTGACTGTCATGATTTTGCATTGATTGCTTATCATGTAATAATTTGGTCCTTATAAACTAAGTTTATGTTTTACTTTTTTGTGTGTGACATAATCAAAAGCCAATATGTATGAGCGATAATCCCTGTATTAGAGAGATTTCTCTCTGTTGAAAATAGAAGCTGCCTTTAGGACTACTGAAAAAGTGTGGATTTTTTTTTTTTTTAAAGATTTTGTTTTTTGTTTTTCCTTCTTCTCCCCAAAGCCCGCGAGTACATAGTTGTGTATTTTAGTTGTGGGTCCTTCTAGTTGTGGCATGTGAGACGCCGCCTCAGCGTGGCCCGACGAGTGGTGCTAGGTCCACACCCAGGATCCGAACCAGTGAAACCCTGGGCCGCCAAAGCAGAGTGTGTGAACTTAACCACTTGGCCATGGGGCCAGCTCCAAAAGTGTGTTTTTTTGTGCCTCATGGTGACATAGCAGGAAATTCTTGTGACAGCCTTACTCATTTGTTAGAGTTTGCAAGGGCAGATAGATGGCTGTGTTATCAATTAGGAAAAATATGTACATTCACAATGAATCTAGTATCAAGTATATTTTAATAAGTGGAATTTGTCATTGGCTTATCAGTTTAATGTCCTGAACTTCTTGTTTTATGTTACAGTGAAAACATAGGCAGTTGTTTAAACTTATTATTATTTAAATATACATATAGAAAAGTGCATATAAGTGTATAACTGAATTTTCATAAATTGTAAATACCAGCATCCCTGACACAGAATAGTACTAGGACCTTAAAGATACTATTTATGCTTCCTTCTAGTCATTACTCCACCAAGGTTAACCCTGGTTCTTACCTCTGATGGTGTTGATTAGTTTGGCTTATTTTTGTAGTTTAGGTAAATAGAATTATATAGTTTATGCTCTTTTCTGTCTGTTTTCTTTTGTTCAGTGTTACGTTTGTGAGATTTATCCATATTGTTGCATGTCATTGTGGATTATCTATGCTTATATCTATTGTTGTGTAGTATTCCATAGCATGAGCATGCCAGATTTTCTCCATTTTTCTTTTGGTGGGCATTTTAGTAATTTCCACTTTTGGCTATTGTAAATAGTGCTGCTTGTAGAGTAAATTTTCACTTTCTGAAAGTCATTTTCTAATCTGAAGAGATTGGTTTATTTATTTTAAGATTTTATTTTTCTTTCTTCTCCCCAAAGCCCCCAGTACATAGTTGTATATTTTTAGTTGTGAGTCCTTTTAGTTGTGGCTTGTGGGATGCCACCTCGGCATGGCTTGATGAGCAGTGCTAGGTCTGCGCCCAGGATCTGAATCCGCAAAACCCTGGGCCACCAAAGCGGAGTGTGCAAATTTAACCACTCAGCTGCGGGGCCGGCCCTGAAGAGATTTCTTTAAACTTTGTCTGATTTCTTTGTTTGGATTGGGAAGGAACACCAAGAAAAAGGATACTGTTCAGACTTTATTTTCATTTTGCCATTTGTTTGTTAGAATTGTAGTGATAACAATCTTCTGTTGTAACTTCTTAATCTTAGGTTGCTGTTTCGTCGTTGTCTGCAGTAATCAAGTTTTTAGAACTCTTATCAGATGACTCAAACTTCGGTCAGTTTGAACTGACTACTTTTGACTTCAGCCAGTACATGAAATTGGATATTGCAGCAGTCAGAGCCCTTAACCTTTTCCAGGTAAAAAAAAAAAAAAAATACATGGATTAATAATAGTGAATGGTTAAAAAATGTTTCCTTTGATATGTACTGAAGAATCTCATTAAAGAGCTTAAGTATTTTGAAATATTGTTATACTTAGAATAGATAAATAGTTTTGAATTACTAAGTTTTTCTAGTTGCAAGCTGTATAAATAGTATTTGCCTTGGCCTATGAATAATTTTGTATCTTAACAGCAGCGTTTCTTTTCTAACTGGTAATTTTTAATACTAAGTTATTTTCAAAAACAAAAATATGAAACACTTCACGAATTTGCGTGTTATCCTTGCACAGAGGCCATGCTAATCTCTGTATCATTTCAGTTATATGTGCTGCCAAAGTGAGTGTTACAGCAGTTTTTTAAAATTACATTTTAAGTTTTATCTCTAAAACTGTAGTAATTATGAAGTGATTTTGGTTTGGGGAAAAAATACAGCAGAAAACACAGATTAACAGGTTGAAAGTTTGATTTTAGGAAGAGGAACTTTTTTGTGTGTGAGGAAGATTGGCCCTGAGCTAACATCTGTTGTCAGTCTTCTTCTGTTTGTTTGAAGAAGATGGTTGCTGAGCTAACATCTGTGCCAATAGGAAGAGAAACTTTTGTGCAAATTTCTCATTTAATATTTGAAGAGTATTAAGTGTTCTTGTTCCCAAAATTATTTAATTATCTTTCATGGCATAGTAAGGTTTTCACTAATGAGCGTGCCATTCTTTCTATTTTATGTTTTGTTTACTAGGGTTCTGTTGAAGATACCACTGGCTCCCAGTCTCTGGCTGCATTGCTGAATAAGTGCAAAACCCCTCAAGGACAAAGACTGGTTAACCAGTGGATTAAGCAGCCGCTCATGGACAAGAACAGAATAGAAGAGAGGTATATTACTAGCCTACACTTCTATAAGCTGTGGGTGACTTGCAGTTATTCCATATGATTATACCACTTAATGTTTGTTTGTTTGTTTTTCCTGAGGAAGATTCACCCTAAGCTAACATCTGTGCCAGTCTTCCTCTGTTTTGTAGGTGGGTTGCCGCCACGGCATGGCCACTGACAGACGAGTGGTGTAGGTCTGCACCTGGGAACCAAACATGGGCCCCTGAAGCGGAGCATGCCAAACTTAACCACTAGGCCACAGGGCTGGCTGCTATACCACTTACTTTAATATGCAGTTTTGCACCTGTATTTTAAGCATCTAAGTGCACAGAGAGGTACATAGTAAGAGAGTAGTAATGATTTAGATTAAGTGATTTATTTTCTTAATAATGTTTTTTTCACTATAGAAAGTTATTTATTTATTTATTTTTTTGCTGAGGAAGACTAGCCCTGAGCTAACATCAGTGCCAGTCTTCCTCTATTTTTTAGTATGTGGGCCACCAGCACAGCATGGCTGCTGACAGAACAGTGTAGGTCTGCGCCCAGGAGCCAAACCCAGGCTGCCAAAGCAGAATGTGCCAAACTTAACCACTAGGCCACTGGGGCTGGCCCATAAAGTAAAATTTTATTAGATGGTATGGATATTGTTTCGGAGCATCAACTTGGGAGCCAGCATACCTTGGTTCAAATTATGACTCTAGCACTCATTAGCTGTGTTATCTTGGGGCCAGTTACTCAACCTCTGTGTTGCAGTTTCTTCACTTTTAAGATGACAGTAATGACACACCTACTTCATAGTGTTATGAGGATTAGGTGATTTAATATGTGTAAAGTACTGTGAACAAGGTCTGGCACATAGGAAGCACTTATTCTTCCTTGTTCTGTAAAGGGTTTAAGGCAGCCTAAACATATATTTCAGAAAACTTTTAAAGTTGAGGAAATAAAAGAAAAAGTTATTTAATCTTGCTACCTTAATATGGTTAGCATTTGGGTGTATTTTATTTTTATCTTTTGTTTTAGATACATTTTAAAACTTCCAAATGAAGTATAATATGCATGAGAGCACAAATCCTAAGTGTGCAGCTTGATGGATTTTCACAAAGTGAACACATTGGCGTAAAAACACACAAGTTGAGAAACAACATAACCAGCATCCCAGAAACTCCCTTCGATTTCCTGCTAGTTATTACCCCTCCTCACTCTACGAGTATCACTGTCCTAACGTCGCAGATTAGTTTTGCCTGTTTTTGAACTTTATATAAATGGAATCATTTTGTGTAGTGCAGTATGTTACTTTGTCTTAAACGTAGTTGTAATCCTAATATAGTTGTGTGCCTTAGTTTTTTCCCCACTTAGGCTCATATTATCATAAGCATTTTTTAGTGTTGCTGTTTTGTCTTTGTATTCAGCATTTTTCATAAGTATATCACGTTTAATTGAATGGATATACTTTAATTTACTTTACCTTTCTCAATAATTAGGTCATTTCTAAAGACCTTGTTGTGTACCTGATGTTTTCCATTTGGCACATTACACATTGCCAGAATGGGTAAAAGAGATTCATTATTTTTATGGCGTTGATGTTGTCAAATCATTCCAGAATTTGTGAATAACTGCTGAATACTGATGGTATACAAAAGCATAATGATCTTTTGACTCTGTGTGTGGGAAGATGCCAAGCAAACATAAAATAATGATCAGTATTGTTAAGATACCCTGCAAATAATTACCAAGCTAAGTGTTGATCCCGTAGATTCTTAAAGAGCCTTACACTAAAAATAACTCATGAGGTTAGTGAATTGTGGGTATGCCAGTATTTTATTGAAAATGCAGAAGTTGAAATGCTAAAATTGGGCCTAGCCATGTAGCCGAGTGGTTAAGTTCACGTGCTCCACTTAGGCGGCCCAGGGTTTCGCTGGTTCGGATCCTGGGTGTGGACATGGCAGCGCTCATCAAGCCATGCTGAGGCGGCACCCCACATGCAACTAGAAGGACCCACAACTAAAAATATACAACTGTGTACTGGGGGGCTTTGGAGAGAAAAAGGAAAAAGAAAATCTTAAAAAAAAAAAAATAGGATTGGATATTTGCAAGTAATTAAGGCAGTTTATAATTTTAATTATTTGTGAATAAGTAACTACATTTATATGTGTCAAGATTCAGACAGAACAGAAGGATATATGGTGATAAGTCTCCTACCCTTGTCCCGCCAGTGCCCAGGATTCCTTCCTCAGGCCCCTCTGTTGTATAGCTCAGGGACACATTTCTTATTGTACTCTCTGAATTGCCATCACTGCCTGGGGAGCAGCCAATCTTAGCAGTTTCTTGAGTATCCTTCCATGGGATGTCTGTGCGTAAACAAGCAAAAATTTGTGTTCTCTTGTCTTTTAATTTTTTTTTTTTAAGAAATACTAGGTAATTTAAATAACTCAAGCTGTAGGTCATTGGTTATTTTTTTTAACTTTGGGCTTGTGGGAACAGAGCAAGTGTCAGTGGTCCCCTTCTGGCTTAACAACTAGAGCATGGGTGTATTTACACCTTCAGAAACCTGACATGTCATTTATATATTATTACCAGAGTAACAAATTATTTAGAAGGCAGGATATCAAAATTAGACTTTGTTTTAGAGGGTAAGTAAAGGTTACTTTCACAGAATAGTGCAATAATTTCCAAAGTCTGGTGGTCTTATGAGGCTTATTTATTAGAAATAACATTTGCGAGGTTGGCCTTACGAGTTAGGATATCTGCTTTTCTGCACCTGTGGGATAAGAGGAAAATATTTTCTCCTTTTTATGTTGGTGAGAATTTTTTTTTTTATAGCAGCAAGTGGGAAGGCCTGTGATTTTCAAGGCCAAATGCTGAAATTCCAGAGTGGGAAGAAAAAGTTACACTTCCTTATGGAGGCTTTTGTTTAGACTGTCTCCTTGTTTTGATCACCCTTTCTCAACTCCACCTGCTGTGCTAGCTCGAGCTTCCTTCCTAGTTACACCTTCCTGGGGTTCTCGGGGCAAATCTGTGATCTCTCTCTAAGTATTTAGGATTGATCTTTCTTCAGGGTTACACATTAAATCAAGTTTTTTTGTTTTTTAATGTCGTCATTGTTTTGTGGTAATTTTCCAGAAGAGAAAATAGTGGAAATCTCTTTACTCCACCCTCTTGAAACTGTAGGGAGTTAGTTTTAAAATATCTAGCTATTAGGGTGAATTATGTTAAGGAAAGCAAAGATTTTTCTTTTTCTTTTTTATTAGAGCAGACATAAGAACAGGTGTGACTAGATCTTTGAGTTTGGTGCATATATCTTGTCAAGGACTATAGCCCAGTGATAAATTTAGGAATAATGATGAAAATGGGAGTATTTTAAAATTATTGTCGAGTGATTAGGAGGAGGAGGGTAGTAAGACTGGTGCCTGGCACTTTGCTGAGCATCTCACATTGATCAGCTGTAATGTGATGGGTACCTGATTTAAAGCGAGGCTAGCCTGACTCCAGAACCTGTGCCCTTAATCACTGTACTGTATTTATTCCTTCTGTCGCTTGTATTGAATTTGATCCAAATTAGATTTTATCATCAGAAATGAAACATTATTTTGGCTTTTATTAAAGTTATATCCTGGAATCGCTTTATTACACTGCTCATCTTTCCCTTCACTAAAACTAAAACCTATTTGCGTTGAGACTACAAATACTTTTCTTTTTTGATGAGGAATATTCGCCCTGAGCTAACATACATGCCAATCCTCCTCCACTTTGTATGTGGAATGCGGCCACAGCATGGCTTGATGTGTGGCGTGTAGGTTTGTGCTCAGGATCTGAACCCGAAACCCCGGGCTGCTGAAGTAGAGTGTGCGAACTTAACTACTACGCCACTGGGCTGGCCCCAGTACTTTTTAGCTAATGGCTTAAATACTTTATCTCCAATGAGAATGATATGTTATTACCATTTAGGGGTGATTTTCTAGGTATTTCTTCCTTTTTCTGCTTTATCTAACAATCAAATTAGAAATTCTGAGAACTCTGTCCATATTACTATTTTTTCACTTATTTTCTGGTAGATCCCAAGAGTCCTCATGTTTGTACTTATGTTAGTACTGTTGCTTTTAATCTTTTAGGGTGTTTAGGGTTTTTTGGGTTTTTTGTCTTTCCATAGATTCATCTGAAGCCTTGGTAATTTTCCCACATTTCTTTAAAGTTAGAATTCTCTAAAGATCATTGAATATATATTAGCATATGAAACAGTTCACTCTTAAATGAAATGTCTGGTAAAATAATTTATATATGTTGAGTTTGGTATTCTTACTGCTTTCTAGTGTAAAATTGAATATTTTTATGTAAAATGTAACATGATTAATGTAGCAGTCTTATTAGAAACAAATCTCCAATATAAGCATGGCTCCTATAAATTTAGAGACGGTAGTGCTTATGTGACAGTATATCATGGTTTTTGAGGCAATGTACTCCTAGACCAATTTCCAGGTTATCTTATTCT